TCAGCAACAGCTTATAACAGTCAACTGCTTGACATGGGCCTCTCCTTAGACAGGAGGTGTTTTCCTACTATACCACGCTGTTCAGACGGGTTGGTAAAGGGTTCTTTTCAAGTTTTCCTTCTCTTTGCAGAGCTGTTGTTCTGCGTAGTTTGCTCCCTTAGTTAGTTCTGCGTAGTTTGCTCCCTTCCCTGCTTCTTACGACACACTCGGGATGAATAGGTGGTGGTGACACTCCGTATTCTTAATCCGTCACCACATGAATAGTAGAGGGGTAGAGAAAAAAATATATTTCTAGGGAAACTCCTGAATAAACTATATTTTGGAGAAACTATTTCTTTCTGCAGTGAAATTGTTGAGTTGTACATAAATTTAATTCGGCAGAAATACATATATTTTTTTTTTGTTTTTTTTTTTAATGACAACTCCCGCATTAGGAATACATCTTGTGTCGCGGGAGACTTTACAAACATACATGAAACGGACACAAAGAACACCCAGAGTTAGAACAACAGTTTGTGGATCACACAAAGTGTCGTCCCATGTGGGGATCGGACCCAAACATTCAGCGTAGTAGTAAGCGGCTCCGCGACAGTCCGTTCATAAGCAAAATTGTACGTTGGCTGTTGCTTTCTCATTCAAATAAATACCTATCTTTTTATAACTTCGAGAAACCAGTGAAGTCGTATACATTAAAAAAAAACAATTTCTCTTCGTCGTAATTTAGATTTTCCCAAGATCCGTTCTAAATTTCCCTCTTGGCTTTATTATCTTCGTGTTCACGACAAGGAAATTTATATGCAGTTCCCAGATCCTCCAGGCGAATCGGACTTTATATTAAACTGACTGTTTATCAGACATTTACTGTTCTGTTAACGTCCCCACAGATTACTTTGCCTTCGACCAGGCAGTTCCAGGTAGAATAAATTAAATTTTACATGTTGTGGGAATACACTCTGTTATTTTTTTTAGTAGTCTTTATCCTTTGGGGAATAAGAGTACTTTATATTTAAACTTTTTTGTCATTTGTTCCTCCCTGGTTGGGATTGCGAGAGTGTTGGTACATAACAATGTGTGTAAGGTATTATTATTAGTTTTGAATCATGTAATAATCATTTGCCATTCCATGTATTTCATTGAATATAGCCAACAAGAAATGTATAATCATTTTTCAGAATGCAACAATTTCAATGTTACAAAAAAAATCTTTCGCATCAACACCGAGACGCAATATTTTAATACCAAACATAATTCCTTTTATATGAAAGTAACATTGTTTTGTACACATATCTGCTTGCCTTAAATCCTTAAGTCTCGGACTTTAAATCAATCAAACACAAATATCAAATGAAATCCTTGCCGGACATATTAATAATGTAAACCATCTAATGCGGAAGGTCAGACCGGCTGTGGGCGTGGTGACGCATGCCGTGGCAACGGTCTTTGTGATAGTGACATGTGTGCTATATTTTTAATATATAATTTTTAATTAAAAGTAATAATTTATTATTTCTTTTCGCAAGCTATCTTTTTATACTCATTATTCCTTCAAAATAATTTCGATATATCACATCTGCTAGGTGCCCCGCTCAGTTTTTTTCAGTAATACTCAATTCCTACCCCCTATTTCGTTACCGTTACCTTAACTGTTACGATTAAAGCCATTTCATAACAATAAAATTACAACGCATTTCTTTCTGAAAACCGAGCGGCGAACAAAGACCCTTTATTACTGGGGTTCAACCGGTGTTACCGTATCTCCGGCTTATCTGTAGAAACGATTTTATTACATTTTCCTTATTCACCATTAAATCTTTTAACCGTAAGACATTGTTTTATTAAAATGTTCAACCTGTTGCATCAATAATCGATCAACTCTTAGCCGTATAATTAAATCGGACCGGATTCAAAATCTTTTAAATTTAATTGAATTTAGATTTGAAGAATTGAATTTAAGAAGGAAATTGATTTTCGATACTTATTCCATTACGTTTGTCGAAGCGTAATTAAGCCCATCAGGTACCAACCTGAGTATAATATTGTACTTAATAAAGTTTTTAGAAATAAGAGTCAAAGTTTTTACGCTGAGAAGGAGTTTGAGACAATTTTTGTCAATTGTTTGACAATTGTATCTGAAAATCGTAACAAAAAACTGAATATAGTTTTATTTTATTGAAAGTAGTTGGTAGTCTGAAAAACCTTCTGAGGCACTATGATTTGTTAAATTATAATAAATTCTAACTAAATACTCGTGTTTGAAGTGGGTTCACAACGGTAGTGTCCTGAAGGTATTGTTGGGTTTGAATCAGCAACCACTTGATCACAAGTCGGATCTCTATAAATAAACGGTATTTAGTTTAATACGTATATATTTTGTAGACGTTAACGGACTTTTCTATAACTATTTAATAAATTATCGTTAAGTATACACCTTCTAAATATTATATTTCAGTGACTTTCCACCAGGTGACCCGTCTGCTCGTCTGCCCCTCTTCCATAAAAAAAAAAATAATATAAATATGTTGCCAAAAAAGCTATTACATCTTAATTTTATTTTTTCAATTAAAAAATTGACTTGAATTACTTAATGGTTCTCTAGATTTTCATTTCTGATAAAGCAGAGGAAGTTCATGAAGAAAAGAATAACCATAACAGAATAGAAGAATATTGTAGTTATTATTTTGATTATTAGAATATAAATTAATAAATAATATCGCCAGGGCGCCTTTTGACTCGGTACAATGAAAGGCTTTGAGATCTGTCAACGACCCTTTAGAGAGATTTCGTAGTCCTATTATTTCCCTACTAGGGACGATGGAGCTGACTTTATACCTGGGTATTGTTCTCTACTTACAGGAAGTTCATCGACAAGATTAAAACGGATATAGAATACTTCACTTTAATAAAAGTTTGAAACCTCCTTGTTATTGAATTTGATATAAAATTCCTTAAAAAAAATCGTTTTATAAAGGTCAGTGTTCTATTAATACTGGTATGTTAGGTAGTTTCGCTTTTCGATTTCAGTCGTTTTCAATCAGACAAATCAATCTAAGTTCCCTGTAACGGAATTCCTATGAAAATGCAGACTGCGGTATTCCGAGGTCGATACGTTCTTCAAACCTTCAAGAAAAGAGCGTACTCCCACCTTAAAGCCTTACCGGGTTTGTACTCGTGACTCTTGAATGACAGGTGTCCACGTGTGGTGATACTCACTTATCCTCAGGTGACTCATCTACTCATTTGCCCCCCCCCCCCCTCCCCTTTTTTTGTTGTTAACGGGTTTAAGATCATCGTTGATGTCCTTCGTCCAATGGGAGGAGGCGAAGGGGTCTGTCGGACTCTTACCGACTAAAAACCAACCCGGTGTTCCTCTCCTTACCAATGATCGGGAAAGCGAGAATCGCAATTGCATTCTGCCGCCACCCCGAAAGTCCTTATTTGCCCCCTATATCATAAAAAAAGAGTAAAAAGTTACATAAATAACCATATGTGCGTTATAGAGCTTTTTCCATTATTTAGAAATATTCAAGCATGCTTAACAGCAGTCTGATTAATGCTTACCATAGTATGGACTCTGCCCAGTTTGTGATCACACGGCCGTGCGTAAGATGTGTGAATATATTATTTATTTATTTATATATCAAAGTAGATACTACTAATAATGTGGTGTAGTGAGTAATAAATTATACTATGATTATGATAGGACTTTACTACAGGACATCTTTATATGCAATATTTATAGGCCCGGTCCGCTCCTGCCGACTGCTGCCACCCGGGACGTACGGCCCCCGCATTTCAAATCGATATCTTCTATTTATCTGGATGAGGCATAATACTGTATTGTTGAAAATAGCTTCTTTAATTACTCACTATTTCTTGTGATGTGCAAAAATTAAAAATGGTTTCTGTGGATAATCCTTAGGAGATAGACGTATACCATAAGCGCACAAAAACATGTTTTATTACGACTTTACATTATAAATATTTAAAATTATCGGATTTCCTCTACTATAATATGCATACATATACATATAACTCCGCTTAACTCTCTCTATGGATGAAAACCGCATTAAAATCTGTGGCGTATTTTGAAAGACCTTTTTTTTTTTTTGTTTTTGTTGACGGGGTGGAAAATCCCTTCGGATCTCCGGCTCCTCGGGGACTCAGGAGCCAGGAGGTGGTTTTTAGTGGAATCACCACTAAAAACCACTCCGACGGCCGGCCTTAGGTGTCCTACTCTGGGGAGGACCCGGACCATGTTATTTCAGGTCCTCCCCGAATTGACACCATGCCTAATCAGGCCCTATCCCAGGGGAGAACACTTCCCCCTTCAATCGCGGCATGGCGGCCCGATCGCATCTTAATGCAATCAGGCCGGCCATTCCATTCCCTACCGCAGCAATCAATCTGCCACCAGAGGTCCCCACTCTCTGGCGGCCCGCGGCCATTTTGAAAGACCTAAGCGTACAAGAAAAAAAACGACTTTATTTTATACTATGTTAAAAAATTCAGGCGACGTATAATATGTGTTCAAATTTAATAAAGAAACATGATTTCCATTTAGTCGATTTCTGATGTATCTTTAGTATTGTAAGTTTATTAGTTTACTAAATTAGAATTTAACAGATGTGGAGGGTGCCTCACTATTCTTACATGTCATAAAAACTGCCATTATTATCATGTCCTCTTAACCATCACCTATATATACATTTGTAGCAATTTGAAATGAATATACGAGTATATCAAATATTATCTAAGATTTGATTATGGATCATATCAATATGTACGTAAGTATTATACGTATACATAATAAGGTAGATAAAAATACATGGTTCAAAACTCAATATCCAGTACTGAAAACGTACACACTCATAGACTCCTGAAAGGGGTACGTACGTGCTACTTTAGTAGATTTCTTTTATCGAATAAGACCGCTGATAGTTTTATCGTCCATGTACTGGCCATTGTTTTGCAATATAGTAATAAATGTTTTTTGTCCCCAGAAGAGTCGATACAAGAGGCCGTATCGAACGATTCAACTCGACGAAGTACAGGAAAAGAAACAAAAATGACGGCCCACGACGATCCTAATATGATAGTGGGTAAGTATCTTTTTTATGGTCCTTGTAGTGACGGAATAAGAATACGGAATGTCACCACCCCTATTCAGCCCGTGGGTGTCGTAAAAGACGACTAAGGGTGGAAACTACGCAGGACAACAGCACTGCAAAGAGAAGGAAAACTTGACACAAACCCTATGCCAACCCGTCTGGGCAGCGGTGGTATGGTAGGCCAAAACCTCTTTACTAAGGAGAGGCCTATGTCCAGCAGTGGACTATTAGAGGCTGTTGATGATGATATTTTTTATCCTTTAAATATTTTGTGTGAATAGTTGCAGTTGTAGGACATCTAGTTCAATTTAAACCATATTGCAGTGTAGTGTTTTATGCTATGCTTTGTGTTGTTATTTTGGCGAGATGTAATCATAATATGAATTATAATTAGGCACAGGACCCTGAAAGTGACTTAGTTTTTACATTTAATTAGCAGAATTAAGCGTTAATATTATGAGAATTCAATCAAAGCATAAGTAATTGAAATTACTTAATGAAATTACTTACTTTCACGCATTTTACGATTAACAGTTGATGTATTGTTAATCATGGTTGTCACGATTAACAAACTTTTATTGTAGAACGCTAGATAGCGCCAAATTTGTTAATTATATGAGGAATAGTCTCTAAAAATAGTAGACTATAGACTGCAATAGAAAGTATTTAAATCACATCATAATAATATTTAGAGCATCGCACAGCTCTCTTTCTTAAACAAATCCTTATTAACTTGTAGATGTAGCGAGAGAGATAAGGACCTTTAAATACTACACACCTAGTTACTATTTAGGCAATTCCTTGAGATAAAACAGTACAGTGAATATAAAATAATCGACCGAAATAAATCTAACATGTTTTTTTAAATAAACGTAACGTCCGCTATCATGAAAAAGTTCACACAATGAACCGTCTCCTCGATTTATTTCTTTGTTATATTAGAGACAGTATTCATAATATGGAAACAATGTGTCAGTACATTAGTACTAATGTTATAATAAACTAGCTGGTGCCCGCGACTTCGTTCGCGTGGAATTTGAAAAGCGCTGCCTTAGTGAGTTCGATTCTCGGATTATCAAAATCGGTCTAGCCGTTTTGAAGATTACCCGGAACAAACAGACAGACAGACAGAAAGATAGAGACAGACTAAAAATATTTAAACTGGTTTTTAGCCATAATTATCATGCATAACCGCGTAAGCATGAAAAAACCTATTATTTTTACATGACAAACAGACACTTAAATTTTATTTATTTGTATAGATGTGCAGTATATCATGGAACTGCATTTGGAGGTCATGGTCTCATTGCATTGTTAATAGCACGGTATAGTGAATAAACATTCATTGTTCTGTGGTTAATATGAAATAGATTAGGCACGTTTTGATTTTTCTGTGTACAGAGTTTGACCATTGCTGTAATAAAATTTTATTTATCATTAATAATTATTACTCATTTGCGGTTAGACTTATTTTCATAACAAGTTGAAAAAGTTTAAAATAAATGTAGTGATATAACGCAAAGTAGAGTTTATTTATGATCTTTTAAAATGATTAATACATTGAAAAAAACATCAACATTAACAGCCTGTAATTGTCCACTGCTAGACATAGGCCTCTCTTTAGAAAGGAGGTTCTCGCCTGGTATTCCTTCTCTTTGCAGCGTTGTTCTTTCTACTTTCCTTCTTGGGGTATACCAGAGTCCCTTGCAATAGACTCACTTGGGACGGAACACCGTGGTTGGTTCTATTCCGATATACAACTTTACCGTGAGCTCCGTTGAGGTGATGACCCTCAAGTAAAAATCTTAAAGAAACATGCAACCGAATTGTTACCTCTTCTTTTTTAAGTTGGTTAAAAATACAAGGCTTTGACTGCAAAAACTGAACGTGTAAGTAGGTAAAGAGTCGAAAAGAATAACAATGATTTTACATTGTTTTAACAAACTGGTAAATGAACGACCAAAACCTACGCTAGAAATAACCATCATTTATATCAGAGAATAAGGTATTCTTACCCTTCGTTATGTGAAAATATTAGTCTATTTACTAAACTAAGATACAATTTACACAAGTAGTATGTTTACTAACTATTTAAGTTACTAAGTAGTAACTAAAATAGTTAGTACTAAATACTGTCTACTAATTAATTAAAAACTCAAACAATGTATTATTATGTTGATATAAAGTTTATTCTAATTTAATAAAAACAATTGTTTTATGTAAAGTCTAAAAATTGTCATGAACATTAAATGTCGATGTTATTGTTATAATGTTCAAAAATAATAGATTTTGATCAGTAGGTAGTTATTATTCATTTATCTGCTAAATATTCATTAATACTGTATAAAGTTTTGATATTTTGGAGTTTTATGAATTTCTTGCGGAATATAAACCAAATATTATAATTTGGCTGGAAATTACATTGATTATGTTTCTTTTCAATGTGCAATGGGAGAGGCCTATGTCCAGCAGTGGACTGCGATAGGCTGATGATGATGTTGAAGATTTATTCACGGTAAATTATAACATTTGCTATTCAAACTTATCTATACAAATAAATAAAATTGAAGTGTCTGTTTTTAATGTCCTGCACCTACCGATTATTACTTTTTCAAAATTTAAACAACTTTTTAGTGGGTAAAAAATTCAATTCCCGAGAGGCAGTACAAAATGCCTTTGAAGAGTTTGTTGCCTCCCCGTGCCTCCCGTACAGCTGATTTTTACAAGAAGGGCATCAATAAACTGCCAATGCGATGGCAAAGATGCGTCGATTGCATGGGTGATTACTTCGAATAACAGAAATAAAAAAGTTTGAAAAAATAAGTACTTTCACTTATTGCATACAAAACGGCAATTTCATAGGTAAAGACCTAATATTTCTAAATACATCCATATACAAGCATACAAGCCTGTAGGTTTAAAAGATTTTAAGAAACCACACTGCACTTTAATCGGCTTTAGTGCGAGATGGGATCTTCCTTTGCGAGCTTAGGGCAGTCAGACTTCGTAAGATCCACAATTAGCGAATGGGATTACTGTCAGCTTAGTTGTGTAACAACATCGGTTAGCGTTGATAGGATATCTACAAAATACGATTATATCTACTCACTATATTAAATATGTACTAAACGTACCTTGCGAAACATATTTCAATGTAGGTACTACTCGTAGATAACTCCTTTGTATGTTTTCTCAAATAAGTGTAATAATAAAGATTCAAAAAGAACCCTCTATGTGGATCCAGATAGTGTATTATTTGTATTTTTGTCGAAGTAGTGTTAAGCCGCGTATCGACTTCGCTCGCGGCAGCCGCGTGCAGTCGGACGAGCGCGGCGATCCAACCCGCTGTCGGTTTTTAGTGCCGTGTTCGTGCGTCTGCGACAGTGTTTGCCATGGATAATTCTCATTATCACAAAATTCTTTCATCCACCAATGCACATTACGTTACTTTTTAGTGATTTTGAAGGCGGCAGCCGGTCGCACAAGTCCGCCGTTCGCGGCATCCTAGCTCAGTCGATACACTTCAAAATATGCCGCGCGTACCGTGATCGTGCTGATGGGGCGCTCGAAAATGCCGCAAATAAGTGTAGCTGTAGGCACTCAAATTAATTAGGCAAACTATTAATAAGTACGCTTAATGGCCACGCACGCGCGCCTTTCTTTTCCGTGCGAAAATACCACCCACCAGTAGGGTGGCTATGTCGGACACAGCAGACCAAAACAAAATACTATGAAAACAAGATGCCGATTTTGCGATTCGTAACATACCTGCGGGAAATTAGCATATTAATTAATTGAACATTTCAATGTCATTGTTTCAAAAAATTGGTTACAATTTCAAATAAAATTAATAAGGTAAATTTTCGACAAACGTTAGAAATATTTTAACTTCTAATTATGAGTTTGTTCTGCCTTGAATACAATTATATTACTTCAACTTCTATATAACCCAATTATGTATTTCTTGCTTAAACAACATCAATTTGTGTATGGCGGAACAACCTAATTTTCATCTGAACAGTTATTGACGAAACAAAGTCTTTAAATCAAATAACGGTTATCTAACACTGACAATGGTCGTATTTATGTAAATTGGAGATCTAAGACAAAATAAACACAAAGTAAATAATTGTATCTCCTTCAAACTTTATCCAACTCACGTTTGGTATCGACAAAGATGCTAATAAAGTGAGAATCTGTAAAGATATTTAAATTACAAGTATAATTTACCGTAAAAATATATTACACTGTGCTGTCTATAAGCAAACAGGGGATCTAGATTCAAAATAAGTACAAATATACTAATATACATGTAACTTCTAAATACTGACATGATTTACATGCCAAAAAGCAAAATTGAATTTGATTCACCGTTCGCTTGCCATATTCAATTTATTTAAAAGAGTTTGTAGCCATTATTACTCGATATGATAGAATAAATCTAACGAACTTGTGTATTCAAATCTGTTTAAGCATTTAGAAGTTATGATGGAAAACTAAATCAAGTCACAACAAACATACAAATCCCTGAAAACTTGTCCTGTTTGAGGCAGTTCTGTCCCGATTAAAAGGAATTTCATACCTTCTTGAATTGGTCAGGAAACAAAGCCACAACTGCGTTGTAGTACTGGGTAAATACGTGGTCTTCCGTAGGTCAAATGACGGACAATTTTCTTACCGGCAAAGATTTTGCGGGCAATATTTCCCTCTAATGCAAAAGGAGGATCCTCCGATTAAGGGATGATTATGTATGGCAGACTGCGACCCAGGGTTGTATACATGTGTATATTCTAATCGGAACGAGAACTTTAATTGCGCGATGAAGGATTAGTCGTAGTTTAGTTCGGTTCGTAGTTCGTAGTTAGTCGTAGTTCGGTGTGTCTTCGTTAGATGGTGTTATAGTATATTTTTATTTCAATGTATGCGGTAGTTGCCATACGCGTGAGCTAGTACATAAACTTCTTATTTATACCAAAAAAAAAGCGTTTATAACTCATCGCTGACGTCATTAGGGCCAACTAAACTTAAATTTCTTGGTTCTCGCAAAAAACGTGAATTCAACAAAAGAAATACACAATCAAGACCCATCCATTTTATATATTGTCTACTTGCGTCATGAAAGCAAAAAGATGTGACGTTTTCGAAATAAATGTTCGCAGTTGAAGTCTTTATATCTAGCATGAAAGTACTAGGAATAAAGGAGATCTATTAATCACCCTTCTTTTTCATCTATCCAACCTACCGGCATCTGCGAAGCTTAGACCTTTATTTCTTCTTGGTAAAACATTGCTCTTTATGTACTAACAATGTTTTAATATACCTAATACTTATTTATAAAATAAATAAAAATCATACCGACGCGTGCAATATAAAATGTTACTTTGTCTAGTATATTTAACCCAGTTACCTGTTTTTTTAACCTTTTATATTATTTGGTACATAATATATTTGCAAACCTTATACTGACCCGTTTGGCAAGCGTGGTACAGTGGGCCTAAATCTCTTCTAACGAAAGGCCTATGTCCGACAGTGGACTATTTAAGGCTGTTGATGTGATGTGATCACATAGCTTTCTCCCTAAATAATACATGTCTATTTTACATGATCTTGGTCTTACCAATGTTCATCCCCAGTCCCACTCGTCTTGAAGAATCGTGAAGCATTTCTTCCAGATCATGCAGAGATTCCGCCAGGATCACTATGTCGTCTGCAAATCGCAAATGGGAAATGTATTAGCCATTTATATTGATTCCCTGTCCGTTCCAATCGAGGGTCTTGAAGACGTCTTCCAATGCATTGGTAAACAGTTTCGAAGAAATAACGTCTACTTGTCTAACCCAGCGATGCAATTGAACTGGTCTTGTGCTCTGTTCTTGTACTTGGACGGTCATCGTTGCGGCTTCGTACAGACTTCTCAGCACTTGGATATATCTGCACTCAACCATATATCTCTTGTGATGCTTAGATTAAATTATAATTCACCGTCACGGTATGAAGCAGTTACTGTTGGAAAAGATTATAACTAAAAATCAGCAAGATTTACTCGAAGTATGTTCACGCTTTTATAAATATTTCTTTTAAAAAGCTACGTTCAAAAGAAAATACGCAAGGAGACATGCCAGTGTCAAAAATATTAACGAATTTAGTCTACTTTTTGTGCTAAATTGTCAACGACTTGACGGGAGGTAATTTGATAAAAAATATCGTGAATTTTCATGTCGTTAAAGATGTGGAATAAATGTATGAAAGTAAAATGGTTTGGCGCTTCTTAATGGTTTGTGTATCGATTTATGTTCCGGATTGTTCTTTTATGTATGACGGTTTATTTGTCGTGTATATCAATGAATATATTTAACTAGAAAGGAATTTTTACTTTGAGGGAAAATGTTTTATTTATAACATGTTTTTTTAAGAGCGACACTTGGTAATGGTGTTTGACTTGTGATTGAGGTGGCGCTGGATGGAAGTTCCAGTCTTTGGGACTACTATACTATACTAATAATCTTGGCAACCACTTCAGCTAAGCTAAATACTTTTGTTTTGTGTGGATTAACGTCGGTGGGCAAATCCAGTACCAGTTTAGCTCATTTCCTCATTAGCCTTTATTTATTAATTACTGTTTTCAATAAAATGTTCAATTAGAACTACTGCAAGTCTACGACAACATGAGGTGACATTTTGAACATTAGTATTTTGAACGCTTTGAGTTACTTTGGAAGAACGTGTAATTAATTTTATTTTCAATCAATAAGCAAAATATTATCTTCTAAGTTAGTAGTTTAGTTTTAATCTAGTCTTAAACCAGTTGGACTATAGATGCAGTGGGTGTATATCTTTAATGAGATTTCATCATCACTTTTTACTACACACAGCAATAATTGAACTACATTTTGAGGTTCATGGTATAACATTTAGTGCGTGGCAGTTAGTCACTTTCCACCAGGTAACCCATCTGCATATTTGCCTCATGTAAACCGGCTCACGATTCGTCAGTGCCATCAGCTGCGCGCCCTCACCACCCTCTATTCCATTCTCAACTCACCTATTTCTCCTTTCCCACCTGACATCCTCCCTAATTTTGATGTTCCAATCACAATAGAACCCTCCGCTCCTCAAACAATATGTGTGCACTTCTCGTTCCTAATCCAATCCGTTCTCCTCTAAAACGCTCTCCCTCTGTAAATCAGGATAGAACCCAAATGCCTCTCAATTAAGACAGAAGTCCGAGCTTACATTTTACACTCCCTAGCAGATTCATCACAGTATTATATATATTATTATTTGTGTATACACGTGTGTATGTACCTCATCAACTATATATATTTATGTGTATTTGGGTATGTATGTATGTACTCATATGTCTGTACATCTAACCCACTGTTTCTGCAAGAAAACTTTTTATCTACTACACCTAGTGAGAAATTTCCCACCACCCAAAGGTACACTGGGATAAAATGTCCGCCGTTGTATAATTGAAATTTGTGCATAAAATATGGAAAAAACAACATAATTTTATGGGTATTATAAGAGTATTGTTGCGTCAGAGGCAATGCATATAAAACCTTAAGAATTATTCAGATGTGATATTAGATCTTTTATTACTCCCCACAGTCAGAAACAATTTTAGGATTAAATATATAATAGTACATGTCCTTTTGCGTTCAATCATTTACTGTGACATTTTGTTCGCAGACATCGTGATACCGTCGCTGCTAATAGCTGCCCTGTTCATCGGGAACGCTTTCATCGTGTTGATCATATACAAATACAGAAAACGGTAAGTACTTATATAACTAATGTATACTTATATGTACACCTAAGACATATGTAGGTATACATCACGTGAGTATTTTCGTGGATGCCGCATTGACACCGACAGGATATACCTGCCATATCCAAAACTCAAATAAAGCGGTCTCGCTTACATTACGACTATATTTCGGGTTTGTTTGTGACAATAGTTAACCTAAAGCACACGGCTCTATTGATATGGTCCGGAGGTCTTAATAATAGCTGTTCCCGGATCCTTCCTATTTCAGGAGCAGATTTGCATTCCGAGTGGTCTTAGTTGGTCCGATTCTGTCAGAACGCCCCATCGCGAATCACGGTCGGGTGACGGCCAGAGGGGCCTTGCACACGTAAAAAAAAAACAACAACCCTGTTGGTATACTTCACAAAGAGTCCAGAACATTGAAATTGTCATATCACTTGTCATGTTCTAGACAGCTTCCGTTTCACTAGTAATTTCATTTGCCGCTTTGAAAGTATTTGAATTTTTATTTGCTATTTTAATAATTCATTGCAATTCTCGAATAACAAATTTTGTTGAAATTACAAGAACGAAACGATAGCAGAATACGAATACCAAATGATGCCAGGATACATAGCTGTAGAAGTAAATACCACACCACATGTTGTGAGATTGTAGTTAACACAAGCAGTTAGCGTGCACGACACGGGAAGTGAATCTATTAGCGTTGTGTGCTGCTTTTAATCCTGGTTTAATGTTATACATAGTTTTACCCTGTTTTTAGAATGTTTTGGTAATAAAAAATTAAAAAATACATGAAATTGATACTTGTCAAAAAGAAAAGCACTTTGTAAATATTTAAAGTTTTATAGCCAGTAACAAAGAACGAAGATTACAATTTATACAAGTTAGCGACATTTTAACTTTAATTCCCCGGAACAAAACCCGCCGGGTGGCAAGTGTCGTAGTGAAACTAACTCAAAAAATATTTTTAATGCAAAGTTGCATTTTTTTACCATCTTACTACATCACATCATCAACAACACGACAATCCAAAAAAAAAAAACATTTTTTTTTTTTTTTTAAATCTTAAAAAGACAACGCCCGCATTAGGAATATATATTCCTGTGTCGCGGGGGACTTTACAAACATACATGAAACGGACACAAAGAACACCCAGACTCAGAACAAAAATTTGTGGATCACACAAAGTGTTGTCCTATGTGGGGTTTGAACCCACAACACTCGGCGTAGTAGAAAGCGGCGTGGCGACCACTTAAACCACTACGCCATCCGTGCAGTCAACACAAACAATAGCTTATGGATTGCCAATCTATAAGATAATGTTCTTCTGAGCGATCCCATCCTTCTTGAAGAAAACAAGTTGATTAAAAACAACAAGCGCTAGACATGTGTCCACAGCTTTTTCTTATCCCTCTGGCACTAAAATTCTATTTACTCGTAATATTAGTTCTTGAACTCTGTGAAGACTCTCTGGTAGTTACGCATTAGAGGAAAGTTCAAAAAATTCCTAGTACATGTCTGTTCTGTTCATAGCATATAGATATGTGAAAAATAATCACATTGGTGTCGCTACTAATACATAGAAAGGATCCTCCGACAAAGTTTGGTAATTATATCACATGTAGTTCAGTTGATACTTCGTAGTTCGGTTTTTCTTCACCAGATATCACAACGTGATTTTGTTGTTATTGACAATTAGCTGCCCCACAAGAATTACCCGTATTATACCAAGGGGACACTATATTTTTTCGAAATAAAAAGGCTATCTGTTAATCCAGTGTGTCAGCTACCTCCATACAAAATTTTATCAAAATTTGATTTAGCGGTTTTAGCCTGAAGAAGAACAAACTATACAAATACAAATATACACTCACAAACTTTTTGCCTTTATGATATCTGATAACATCTCTTGTAGTATCAACTCTTGTAGTTGAAATATCTTTGGAAGTATATCGGTAATTAACTTTCACTAATTAACTTAGCTTTTACTTGCATTGCAGACAAGATGCAGAAACTTAATCCTCTATTATTATCAGTCAAGATGAGTCTTTGTCACTTCCACCTCTACGTTATGTCTTCCGTGATTCCGCTGCGTTTTACGACATCTCAGCTCTACGATAAAATATAAAAATACTTACGTAAGGCAAGGGCATTTTGGTCCGCTGTTACTGTAAATTTCTAAGTAGTCCTGAGGACTTCTCATAGATTAAAGAACCTTCTATTCTGAGTTTTTGTACCTTGAGTAAAGATTAAACAAATTTACATTGAATGAAAAACAGTAATATACTCTTTTAGTGTTACTCAGAAATGAAACACCAGTAGCAAGTTACGAGTAGCATAAATCGTAATCGAAATTGCATTATATTTCAAGAAGGTTCATAATATTATGTTAATTTGTTTATAGGACTGTAGCAGTTGTCTTCATATTATGTTATATTGTTTACATTCATTTTTTATTTATATAAACTAGACATATCGATAGCGGTAAAATTTTTAATGTATTATTTTATTTCATTGACCAGTTGTATGTATACCATACCATAGTTGGCCATAACGTTATGTTTAACTGTTTTAGTATAGACTTTTGTGTCATAACGACGATATTTTATATACTCATTCTTACATGTTCCTTTTTTAATTTTAGCTTTGTGCACTTATTCTACACTAGCTGGTACCCGCGACTTCGTTTGCGTGGAATTCCAAAAGCGCTTCCTTCATTCGCTGATTTAATTCCCGGACCCGGCAAAATTTTATAGAGTTTTTTTCTGAGAGGAAAAATAGCCTTAGTTATTCCTTTATAGACAGCTACCTGGTAGTAAAATATTCATCATCATACATTCATATTTTCAAAATAGGTCCAGCCGTTTAGAAGATTAGGCAATATTAGACAGACAAAAAAATTCAACTGGTTTTTAGGCATAGGTAGAGTGCAAATAACCGTGTAAGCATGAAAAAAAAAACACTATTATTTCGACATTACAAACAGACACTTCAATTTTATTTATTTATATAGATTTAAAAATAAAGTATTCCAAATATGATATTCTTACGTGCGGCATATTCGTTTGGAAACAACATAAAGTCACTCATCAACATTTAGACTAAGAAAAAAATAACTCATCAAAAACTAATAAATACTGAGATTACACAAAGCTTTTTTGTAACGTTACAACTAGATATAAAACATTTAATCGAAACTACCTATTCTTGGAGTAGAAGAACAATTCGGACGAGTTCTTGTTTCTAATATCTCTTTTTCTTGTTTTGCTTTAAGTGATATATCAAAAAATTGTTTAGAAATCAAGAGTTTTATTTTTAAAGTATGTGTACCTAAAATAATTTATGTTCTTTTTTTGTTTAGACTTGATCACTCACTGAACAAAGTCAGATCACAGAGATATACAAGTGTACGTATCAGTAATTTATTAATATTGAGAGTTTATTATTTAGAAAGCTGCTAATTATTGTTCTTACTCGTATTTATAGTAAATTTCTTAGAAGAACTTTAGATTTAACGATTCATTGCTAACAGCTAAGCTATTTAGTTACAATTTTGATCATAATATTACAAGAGTCGCAGTTGATTTTTTTATGGTGTAGGGGACAATCACTCTTGTGGAGACGGATTACGAATACAGAGTGTCACCACCCCTATTCATACCGTAGGTGTCGTAAGAGATATGGGAGCAAACTACGCAGGACAGCAGCACTGCAAAGAGAAGGAAAACTTGACATAAACCCTATACCAACCCATCTGACCAGCTTGGTATAGTAGGCCCAAAGCTATTCAGCATTATATTGGTATAATGAACGTAATATAATGCTGAATAGCTTGCAGGTGACATCTGGGGCGGTATACTATGGGGATCTTGTGTCAACTAGGGTGAATTTCCGTGCGTTTAGGCGATTCTGCCATACATATTATAGAAATCAAATATAGCTCATGTAGGACCCGTAATATTTTGTGGCCGTGGTGCTTCCCTGTTTAAAAGGGTGTATGCCTATTTTACTTCATTTTGTCTCCCGCTTTGCTAAGGAGGGAAGTGGATTTACTGTATTTCCAACTCCTCCAATTTTCTTCTGATTAATTTCGTTGCGGGTTCCAAGACAGTTTAATTTCTTCCTGGGACTTCCCGAGTGTCATAACTCGGTGTGTTCGTGGGTCACTGCTGTGGATCCTGGTGTACAGGAGTTACAGTGGTGGGCGTGTGGGTGGGATTAGTCCCATTAAAAAGTAGGCCCAAACCTCCTTTGTAAGGAGAGGCCTATGTCCAGCAGTGGACTATTAAAGGCTGTTGATGATGTATGGGAATACAGCCATGATCACCAATAAAGATATTGTTAATAGGTTCCTGCGTTATTTTGCGCTCTTAGTCGGCTCTCACGACACCCACGGGATGAATTGAGGTAGTGACATTCCGTATTCTTAATCCGTCACTACACGGATAGGAACTTCCCATACGGATATGTTTAAAAATTAAGAAGTGTCATTCGTAATCAAAAGAAGATAGATTCCTCAGTTTATTACAAAACTCATATTTTCACTTATTTTAGCTTTTAGAGTGCTTCTGCTAACCTAATTTTTGAGAAACAAAGTTGCTGGACACAAATTAAAAACCTAATATAGCTTTCACTATATAAAGTTTACTAGAAATTGCGTTACAGGTATTAGCATAAACTGGAGAATAAAGGCTTGTAATTGGAATTCAGCTAACAGCGCTTCCGCCTCGAATTTTAAGCACATTTAGAGAACCTGTATTTTAGCTATCAAAATCTCTATTTCCATAATATGTAGTATTTTGATACGTGTAACGTGTAAATATAGTGAAATAAATTATTGATACGTCAGCTTATGTTGATCGCCTTATATTTAGCACAAATATTTAATATTCATTTAAGCTGTACCTTGTAGAAACATGTCTAAATTTCAAAAGCGCTATCGTCTTATTTGTATATGCAAAGTAAGTTGTATTCTGTAAGCTGATTAAATTGATTTCATGCTG